CTCTGAACTACTCAAAATTTCCGTTACCGGTTCTCCAGAACTGTTCAGAACCTGCTAAAACCCATCTCTGGTTTCACAGAGAAATGTCAGAGTTCATGTGACCAGCATCAAGACAGTACTAAAAAAATGGTGTAACTGGCAGGGTTGCAAGGAGAAAAGCACTAGTTTCCAAAAACAAACACTGATGCCACATGAGAATGAGTACATGGATAAACAGAAGGCTGCTGGAACAATGTTTTGTGGACAGATACGATAAAAATAGTACTTTTTGGCCTAATTTTTTTTTTTTAATTCAATTTGTATGCTGCCCCTCTCCGAAGACTCAGGGTGGCTCACAATGCATTTAAAATCATTATAAAAAACATTTTAAAATTAAAAACATTAAAAACATTAAAACTCATTCACACCATTCATGGCCGGATCTCGCCAAATCGCAGGAGAGAGATCAACGGCCCCAGGCCTGCCGGAAAAGCCAGGTCTTCACCGCTTTTCAGAAGGCCAATAGGGTGGGGATGGTCCGGACCTCAGGAGGTAACTGGTTCAGAGAGCTGGGGCAGCCACAGAGAAGGCCCTCCCCCACGGGACCGCCAGCCGGCATTGTTTAGCTGACGGGACCCAGAAGAGACCAACTCTGTGGGATCTTACCGGTCATTGGGAGTTATGCGGTAGAAGGCGGTCTCGAAGATACCCTGGCCCTGAGCCATGTAGGGCTTTAAAGGTAATAACTAACACCTTGAATTGTGACCGGAGACCAATAGGGAGCCAGTGCAGCTCGTGGAAAATTGGTGTAATATGGGTGTACCGAGGTGCACCCACGACAGCTCACGCAGCTGCGTTCTGGACCAACTGTAGTCTCCGAACACTTTTCAAGGGTAGCCCCATGTAGAACGCGTTGCAATAATCTAACCGTGAGGTGACAAGGGCATGAGTGACCGTGAGGAGAGCCTCCCGATCCAAGTAGGGTCGCAATTGGTGCACCAGGCGAACCTGTGCAAAGGTCCCCCTAGCCACAGCTGTCAGATGTTGCTCTAATCTTAGCTGTGAGTCTAGGAGGACACCCAAATTGCGAACCCGTTCTGAGGGGGACAATTTCTCCCCCCCCCCCCCCCCCCCGAACCAAGGATAAATGAAAAGTATTATGTTTGGTGAAAGACAAATGCTACATTCCAGCATAACAATCTTATGCCTTCTATAAAACCTGGCAGTGGCAGTTTCATGGTTTGGGCCTGCATTGTTGTTTCTGGACCAGGACAGCTTACCATCATTAATGTAACTATGAATTCTGAATTGTACCAGCAAATTCTACAGGAAAATGTCAGGATATCTCTCTGTACGAACTGAAGACCTTGTGAACTGAAACTCAAGGGAAAGTGGGTCATGCAGCAAGACCATGACCCAAAGCCTACAAGTCATACCACCAGTGAATGGTTGAAGCAGGAGAAAGTTAATGTTTTGAAATGGCCAAGACAAAGTCCTGACCTTAATCCTACAGAAATGTTGTGAAAGGACATGAAATGGGCAATTCATGAGAAGAAGTCCACCAATATCCCCGAGTTGAAGCTGTTCTGTAAGGTGGAATGGACTAAAATTCTCCCAAGCTGATGTGCAGGACCAATCAACAGTAACGGGAAAAGTTTAATTGCAATTATAGCTGCTGAATGAGGGCATTAGCAGTTAGTAAAAATAAAGGTTCACATAATTTTGTCATCTACAAATATATAACTTTGGATCATTTTACTCAATAAATAAATGAACACATGCTTTTTACTTATTAAATAGGGTTCTTTTTATATATAAAATATTATATATTTTTAGGATCCCATGTTATATAATATTATAGAAAAATGTTGAAAATTTAAAAGGGTTCACAAACTTTCAAGCACCAATGTAACTATATCCCTGTGAAGATAGATTGGACAAAGAGAGAGGGACCAAATTCACCAAGTAAACATTTGTCATTGAGAGCAGAATCAAACCTAAGTCCTTGATGTCAGTTCAGAACCTTAACCATATACAGTATGTCTTTCCAGGTTTCTCACCCCACATATTCAGAATTCTGACACATTCAGTCACTGTCTGCTTTGTAAGTACTAATTTCTTAAGATAGAGAGATCCCTCCATCTTATATATGCTCATACCAGTTTGTCATTCAGAGGCATCATCATCATCATTTGCTATAATAGTATATAAAATCCTTTTCCCAAGATCACTCTATTGCTTAATATTACTCAAGTTCACGTCTAATGGTCAGTCTGATGAGAACAATTTGTCTAAAACCCACAAAATATTAAAAATATCTTCAGGATAAATATATGAGTGTGAAAAATTAGGGCTCTAAGAATCTTCATGAATCATACACTATTATTTTGTGCACTTGTAGAAAACTTCATTGTTTTCAGGTTCTTATGTGACTACATCATAGCAAAATTCCAAATCTGTAATCTGAAAGCAAAATATTAAGCATGGTTATTACCAGAAAAGCAAACACAATGAATTGTTATCAAGAACTATAGAAGTACGTCCACCTGCTTCCTTCAGATAATGTCAGAACTATGGAACTACAAACATAATAAAAAGAAGTTTAGAAAAGTCTTGTAACAGTAGAATTGCCTTGAATTCTATAAAAGAATGCTTTCTAGGTACAGCACATGGAAGCATATGCTATACAAAACAACTACATTTCTCCAAAAAGACGACCCACCTTGAAAAGAAGCCCTATCATGTTTTTGAGCACATACAATCAAATTAAGCCTCACCTACAAAATTAGCCCTAATGAAGACCAAGGCACACAGGTAAAAAATAAGCTAGGTTGGGGATGGGGGTGTGGAGCTCCCCTACTTACCAGGCCTCACACACCCTGACACCTGCCTCGCCTTCTTCTGCAGCCGCTTGCTGCCACTCGCACGCATCTCCTTGGCCTCTGTTTCGCCTTCACATGCCTGCCGGCATCTGTTATCTGCAGCTGATAACAGAGCTCCAGATCGATCCTGAGCTCTGTTATCCGCTGCAGATGCCTTCCGGCAGGCATCTAAAGGCAAAACAGAGGCCAGGGCAATGCGTATGAGGGGCGGCAAGTGGCCACAGAAGTGAGCCTGATGGGCGAGGCTGTCGGTGTCACCGCTGCAAGGTGAGTCAATAATTAGAATCCTCCAAAAAGAAGGCCTAGCAGTTTTTTCAGGGGTCAAAAGAAAAGAAGACCTGGCCTTCTTTTTGAAGAAACACGGTAACAAGTTATTTCAAATGACATTTGTTTTTATCAATGTAATGTTAAAGTTGGTTTTTTTAAGATGTAAAATTTTAGATTAATAGCAATAGCAATAGCACTTAGACTTATATACCACTTTACACTTTTTACAGCCCTCTTAGAGTGTCAGCATATTGCCCCTGACAATCTGGGTCCTCATTTTACCAACCTCGGAAGGATGGAAGGCTGAATCATCTTTGAGCCGGTGAGACTCGAACTGCTGGACTGCTGGCAACTGGGAGTCAACAGAAGTAGCCTGCAGTACTGCATCCTAACCACTGCACTACCATGGCTCAAAATTTCAGATTAAATGATAGAATTAAGTACTTCCTACCCTTCCACTACAATTCCAGTACATACAAACATTACTTTTCTTACACACATTTCTTAAAAGGCATAAAAATGTATACTACTGCTTTTCTAGTACCATTGTAACCAAGGAATATCCAAAATTCAAGACATGATGAAATAGTTGAATCAAGATATCTTACATGGAACAAAATATTTGACCTAAAAAAAAGAAGTCAAATCTTTGACAAGTTAAATACATGGAAGAATCAATAGTCAGTGTCAGTCAGTCAGTCAGTCAGTCTGTCTGTCTGTCTTTGAACCAACTCAGGATGGTTGAGATATCTCTATTTATCTATTTATCTATTTATCTATCTATTTATCTATCTATCTATCTATCTATCTATCTATCTATCTATCTATCTATCTATCTATCTATCTATCTATCTATCTATCTATTTCAACCAACTCAGGGTTCAAAGAACATATAAAATCAAATCATATTAAAACTATAAAATTAAACACAGGTGTATTTTCAAATGAATGAGGGAGGGAGGGAGAGAGGAGGAAGGAAGGAAGGAAGGAAGGAAGGAAGGAAGGAAGGAAGGAAGGAAGGAAGGAAGGAAGGAAGGAAGGAAGGAAGGAAGGAAGGAAGGAAGGAAGGAAGGAAGGTTGGTTTTATTCATTCATTAAATTTGTTTGCCACCCATCTCGCTACAATATAACTCTGGGTGTCTTACAACATTAAAAATGAAACTATATATGTATGTATGCATGCATGCAAGTATATATAAATGTATGTATATACATACATATGTGTATTTCTCCTCAGCCGGGTATTTCCCTACGTAAACCAAGATTTTAAAATGCTGCCATAGCTCAGTGAAATCACAATTCACTAGTTCTAGGCTTTTCCAGACAACAAGCAAACAGTTTGCTGCCCTTTGGGAGACTAATATAGCTCTATTTCGGACTAATTAGTCCTCATCAGTTAGCCACACCCTCATCACATGTTTCCTCCCCGTAGAGGTCAAGTGTATGTTTTCTTCTCTTATCGTAGGCCCTTTATGTGTATTTCTCCTCAGCCGGGTACTTTCCTACATAAACCAAGATTTTAAAATGCATATGTATACATATATATGTATGTACGTTGTAGGTAGATAGGTATAAAATCACATTAAAATTCCAATAAAATATAAGTTATAACTAAAGATGGAGAGGAAGATAGATAAAGAATGAGGGAGGTACAGGCCACATAGAAAGCAAGCATAATAGAACACTGGTATCATATGTATGGCATATGTATTCCTTTAAAAACATTCAATGCTCATGTAAGAAATTACTAATAGAAAATAGAACGAATCAGTGAAAAGCACAGATTCATGAGATAATTTTCTGTAGCCATAGCCACATTAAAATGAATAATTCCTTCTTCCTCAAGCAATTATTTCAAAGAATGGTCCTTACCACGATCATTTCTGAAGGTTCCAACACAATGCATTCACAACCTCGTTTTCCTCCAGATTGCTTGCCAAAGCTGTGAAGAAAAATGGGAAAGTGTAAACTGCCCATTACATAGTAAGTAGACAGGACAGAAACAAAATTTAGTAATAGTAAAGTATTGTGCAAAACAAAAAGGTATCTTGCACTATATTCCATATCACTATTTTAAGGAGCAACATAACATTTTTATATATCACCTATGTTTTATAGAATTCATTAAAACATCAATTTAGAAAAGCATTCAGAAACACTATGAAAAATGGGGTTATATACTATAAAAGTACCAAAAAATGAAAGCAAAATAAAGAGATAATTGTATTAATGACAGGCAGTTTGATGTCTGGTTAAGGCACTGGGCTAGAAACTGGGAGACCATGAGTTCTAGTCCCATCTTACATACAAAGCAAGACGGTGACCTTGCGAAAGTCTTAGCCCTAGGAAGGAGACAGTGGCAAACCACTTCCAAAATCTTGCCAAGACTGCAGGGACTTACCGAAAGACATTGGGAATATGATAGAAGAATTAGCCTCTAGAATCTGCTTTCAATAAATCAACACTTGTGCATTTATTTTAGTTCCAGATCACTCAAAAGAGTTCTTGCATATAAGGAAATTAAAATATAACACAAACAGTAGTGACGTCCATACATTTTAGAGTTAATTGCACTAAATTAGAAACAGAGTATCATTCCACTAATAAGAAAGATCATAGGAAAATGATAGAAAATAGGTTTGTGCAAAACATTCAAAAAGGTAACTTTGCTTTTAAAAAAAAAAGCTCACTGGAATGAGCAAAATATTTCCTCTCAAACCAGCCACATCCTCTAAAAGGCTTGGTGTGCTGTTTTGAAGGCTTTCCTCAGCTGTATGCACATGTGCATGCATGCCCAGCTGCTGTGCTTCACTGCAGTCGCAGAAATATGATTTATGTATCCATACTTGCATGTGCACATAAACATGTGAAGTAAAAAAAAACTACAAAGGGTGTTGCACCATGTCTACCAGAAGACTGCTGCCTTAACACTTTGAGGACACATCCTTGCTTGTGTCAGCATGCTTTGTAAAGGACTAGAGTTTTGCATGCAAGAGCCGAGGTGGCACAGTGGTTAGAGTGCAGCACTGCAAGCTACTTCAGCTGACTGCTAGCTGCAGTTTAGCAGTTCAAATCTCACCGGTTCAAGGTTGACTCAGCCTTCCATCCTTCCAAGGTCGGTAAAATGAGGACCCAAATTGTTGGGAGCAATATGCTGACTCTGTAAACCGCTTAGAGAGGGCTGTAAAAGCACTATGAAGCGGCATATACGTCTAAGTGCTATTGCTATTGCTATTAGCTCCCATATTTAATTCTCATCACCTTCCAAGTATTATAAGAAAACACCACTATTGAAAATCTGGAGAATAGCAATAAATAGCTGCATGAATCAAGATCTACTTCAGTATCAAGATACTTCCAGAAAATGGTATTAGCAACATTATTTTGCTTAAATGTTAAAAGAAAAAACATTGAGCTCAGTTTTCTGATTAAATAAAATTATAATTAGAAACATTGTTGACTCTTTGGAAATGTTGTCTGAAGTTTTCATTTTCTTTTTTACAAGTCATACACTCACATCAGTAGCCTACTAAACCATCATTTCAACCTCATTTCTACTTTAAGAAAAATGCTCATTAGATATTCATGTAGAACAATTCTTTTCTGCATGCTTACACATCCTGCATGCTAAGTAGGATGCATTTGTCAAATTTGGAAAATTCTCTCCACTTGCTCTGCCCCTACATCCTTGGGACATAACTCCCAAAATTAAGGAATTAAACACACACACATACAAAGCTTTCTTGTTTTCAAATATCCTATCCTATTGGCCAGCTTTGATGCAGCACTAAGTTGATGGCTACAATGCTAGTTAGTTTTAATGTAAAATTTAGGAAGCCCTGGTCAAACTACATTTTACAATGAATCTCTAAGTAAACAAACGTTGATAGAATCTCAACCTGGCATAAAGTTAAACACATATTTCTGAAAATTTAAAGGCATACTTAATTATATTTGTTTACAGATTGAATATGGCAAGTACAAAATTTGGACACCCCTTTGGCTGTTATTTCTTTTATAGAAAAAAGGGTTTTCAAACTTCTCTTATAGCTAACTATTTTTAATTTTGGAATGTTTTTCCCATTATTCCTTGAAGAATTCTTCTGATTCAGAAATATTATTAAATCTTGCATGTACTATATGTTTGAAATATCCCTATTCAGGTTTATGAGCTATAAAGGATATTCCAAAGTCTTTATCTCTCTTTTCTGGAATTACTTTGTGGTTGATTTGGAAGTACACTTAATCACTCTCTTGCTAATATCCAACTTCTTTTCAGCTTTAATTTGTTCACTAACTAGGCAAGATGAGCTTCAAGACCAAGAACAATATCTGTTAGAACTGGTCAATCAACTCAAATATCTCTGCAGATGATCTGCAAACAAACAAACAAACAAACAAACAAAAAGAGCTGACATTGAAGTAGTTATCTACTTCATTTGCTTGTATAGCTAAGATCTGCATGGAATAGAGCTCCAGAGGAAAACTTTAGGACCTCATCATAAATGTCGTTGTGTAACAGAAAACCTAGATTAGTCTGAAGTATTCCGAAATAGAATTATTTTGGACTAATGGAACTAACATTGAACAATTTGGTCAGAACCACAAAATGTAGGAAGAAGGAGTGAAGAAGATAACACCTTGCCAAACATTAAGCAGAGGAGTTCCTTTATACTTAAAGACTTTGACTGGCAGCCAAAATTATAAGAATTAGGTGGATGAGAATGAATTTAACTAAATATCAAAATATCCTTGAAGCTGCAGTGACAGAATTGACACTGAAAAGAGGTATGAGATGCTAACAATGAAAAAGAAGTTTTGTGAATTTGCCAAAAAGATAACAGATAATAAAAAAGGAGAATAATTCAACATATATTTTAGTTCAGAATATTCTGAAAGAGTGTATTTATTGCACCAGGAAATTGAGAGTTGATTGAAGAGGCAGGATTCCTGCTTGACATTACTGGACACTAAGTAGAGACGATGTACTGCTATTTCTGCAATTCTTTGGAGGGAAACGCCTTGTAAAACCAAGAGACAACTTCTTTCTTTCTCTTCCACCTGAACAAACTTCTGTCACAGTACCCCCAGATCTGACTTCTAGTGAAGCAGTTTGAGAGTTCTGAAATGACGGTTTGAGAAACAAATTATTTTCTTTCCCATGTTGAATGATGTTTTGGTTGAAACTCCAATTTAAATGGGACATAGTTCTTTAAATTATATTTTAAACAAAGTTTAAAAGAGAGTTCTTTAAATTTCCAAAGTTTCTCTGTATCCACTAGGATGTAACTAATTTTGAGATACTGTTGATAATCCAAGTAATAAATTACTCTGTTTTAAAATATGCTGATAAAATTGATAAAACATGGAAGGCTTAAGAAGTTAAAAGGCAAAGCTGAGAATAAGGCAAATAAGAACATGACTGCTGATACCTAAGACAAGTGAGATACAAAGAGTGAATGGCCTGCCAAGAAGCATTGGACCAGATCCAAGGTCAAGCTAGCAGAAAAATAACCTTCTAAATTTTGCTTATCTGAAACATAAACTTTGGCAGAAATAATAAGGACATTCTTATTTTAGATGGATTCTATTACTGAACAATGCTATCCCCAAGAGGTTAGATGAAGATTATTTGGGGAGGGGTGAATTTCTGAATTTCTTTCAGTTTAAGAATGTTGCATTTATGGTATACATCATTCATTTACAGTACAAGTCACTACTACCTCATGCCACAGTCAATTTTGCAAACATCATGGACATCACAGAAGATAAAACAATACTGAGTCTTTTATTTGTGGGAGACATTTCTGGGGGTTTTTTATTTTCCTTTACAATAGAAGACAGCATATGCTACATACTTTAAGGCATGCTTATGTTTTTTTTATAAATAATTATGGTCATGGTTGTTATAACAATGCTCTCGTTTTTGGTATCTGATTTTTACAAATAAGTTTTTAAACAAATAATCTTTTTTTGATTAGTTGCAACTGTATTTGGCAAGCGCTCTTGCCAAACGGATTGTACTGAATTCCTCTGAATACATTCCTTTTAATATGCTATGAAGTAAATTTCTGGGCCATATGATTAAAGAGAAACTAAGATATGTTAGATTAAAAATAAACTTGCACACAAAGAGGGGCAAACCCTCTTGACATATCAATCACATTATTCCATTTTGGGGCCAAGCAATATTATGCAAAGCTCCATTTTTATGTTGTTTTTTGTAAGATAAGAAATAAATAGACTCCATTACTAATCTGAACCGAGACATGATACTAAATTTTTGGTATATTTTGCTAATAGGTCATAAGCACAATCAAAGCCCAGTTTTACCCAGTACACGCATGGCATTCTAGGTGTTTTACTCTAATCTAGAGACTACTTTGCAAGCAATATACTTTCACCCAAATACCAACAATTCAGCATTACATGCACTGTACAAATACATGCATGCTTTATTCTATGTTATAGTCCTATGCTGGTCTATCCCTGTGACACAGATTTGATTTTATAATCCATTCTTTTCAACTAAATATTGTCTATGATATTCCCTAGAATTAAAAAAATAGATTAAGTGTACAAACTTATTTTTCTCACCATATATTGTATGTATTTAACTGGGTTATCATGGTTAATTATTTTTCCTTGTCAACACTGATTTCTTACATACCTGCAGGGTGGCAAAAACATAGAATCCTTCATAAGCACAGATCCAGAAAGAAGAATATACCAGCATCTTGCAATAGTATCAGAGCTAAAGAAGAAAAAAAACAAATATACATAAAGTGCTTCTTCTATCTCCCAATTAAAGCTCTTCAAGAATGTTTTCCTATTCACGATGTTATCTGTCCAAATGTACATGTGCAGAAGAAAGGCTTTGGAATCCTGAATGAGTGATAAAACTTGTGAAACACATGAGTTCTGTTCCAGATCTTGCGTGTCAATTATAAATTTAAGTTTGTGGATAGTCTAATTTCTTTGGACCTTTTATTTGGGTAATAAATTGTACATGCATTACAAAGATGTAGATATGACTCTTCTGATTCCAATTATATGTTTTGTCCTACATTTTCAATCAGGTAATGATTAAATGTACTTACCAAAATAAAACTTGATTTCCATCATATCTTTTATACCGTGCACTGGAAGTCATAATTCTGAGAACAAAAATGTAAGCATCATAATATAACATTCACATCTCACTAGAAATAATCATTTCTATGTCAGATTTTGTAATATTTCAATTTCTTAAAGGATCATGCAAAATCTCTCATGTAGAATAGAGAAGACTTATTTTATACTTAAAGAATTATAACAATCCACCAAAAAGACAAATACAAAAGTTCTGCCTTTGCAGAAAGACCTGAAGTACATTATAATTGCCCAGAAATAAGCCGCACTGATTCCAGAATCAGCCCCAGTTGATTTGTTACAGAACTGGGAGGAGGGATTTTTATTTTGTTTGTTTTTAACTGCAACTTCTCTGTTGTTGTGAACTGCTTGTTGTATTCATGATTTAGAAAATTCTCCAAAACTGAAACAAGTATATATTACGCATATTTGTATTCTGTAATACCTGGGTCTTTTTTTCCTCTTGCCTTGAGATAATATTTTAAAAGTAACCATTAAAATAGGTTACTTTGCATATCAAAGTACCCATCTATGAAAACCTAACTGTATAAAATGGACATTGTAGTAGCATATTTAAACATCCCATTTTCATTGATTACCCTTACCTTAACTGATGCTCCCTGAGATGAGATAATATATCCATTCCATGAAGATAGTAATAGATAGTATTTAATTCCTGAAAACAACAACAACAGCAGGTTAATTCATGCTAATTTTGAACAAGAAATTGAATGTCAATCTAGGAACACAAAAAGGTTAACAAGAGTTTTTCCTGATGCTGCCACAGCGGGCATATACAAGACTGAAAATAGTTAACAGAGTATGTTCTTCTGAACTCGATTTCTCATTCCCATTTTACAATTTCAGAATATAAGCAAAAAAAACCCCGATTTCCAATAATAAACTGGATCATGATACCGTGTTTCCCCCAAAATAAGACCCTGCCTTATTTTATTTTTTTTTGAACCCTGAAATAAGTGCTTGGCAGTGGTGAAATCTAAAATTTGTCACTACCAGTTCTGTGGGCGTGGCTTGGTGGTGGTGGGGGTAATGTGACTGGGTGGGCGTGGCCTTTTTTTTTTTTTTACTTTTAAAGCCATTTTTTCTACAACCTCTTCTGTGAAGAGGTTGTAAAAAACTGCTTTCAAAAGGCTCTGACGATCCCAGCTGAGTTGCCTCATCGTTGCCTGATCGAAACTTTTTTTCTTTTCAATGGCTCTGACGATCCAAGCTGAGTTGCCTGATCGGCAGAGGGTTTTTAAAAAACCCTCTGACGATCAGGCAACTCAGCTTGGATCATCAGAACCATTGAAAAGAAAAAAAGCCTCTGATGATCGCGCAGCTCAGCTGGGCATGGGAGGGGGGGCAGGGATTTTTGCTACCGGTTTATTGCCATGCTCTCAAAAGCCCAGTTGGGCTTATTATCGGGGGATGTCTTATTTTGGGGGGAATTTGGTAGTTTCTCAGTTCCACAGAATAATTGTGTTGGTAATTTAATAAGGGAGTAGCCCAAGTATTTTATATCCTTTGCTTCTAGGAACAATGATGTGATATAAGATATTAAGAACCACACTAACAGAGAAACATAAGTCAGAATGAGTAAATAATTTCAAAGTGGAACAGCAGTTGCCATTGTGTCCTTCCTAGAGTTGAGAGAAAGTGACTGGTTCAAGGTCATTCAGCTGGCTTTGATCCCGAGGCAAGACTAGAACTCATGGTCTCCCGCTTTCTAGCCTGATGTCTTAACCATTATACCAGATTGCTATATCAATCTTACAACTCAGAGCTAGTTTGGGTGTATTCCCTTGGCTCTGTTTTTCTCCAACCCAGTGTTTGCTGCCATCAGGACAATCACCACCAACCAATCTCAATAAAGTGTAATGGGGATGGCCTTGGATGAGTGCAAGTCATGGGTGCCTGAGTGATTAGGAGTGGTTTCTGAAGGGGAGTGAGGTAGCATAGCGTTCTTCTGCCACTTGGACAGAAAGGGACAATTACAGAACTCCTGTCAATTTCAGGAGCTTCTGCTGCAGTAAATGGCAGTGCTGTCCATTACAGATAGCTTTTTTTTTTCCTTTGACAATGGTTCAGTTATGAGTGCCTTGGAAAAGATAAATACCCCCGCAGCCACATGGTCGCATTTCAGTGCTTGGCAACTAGCTCACATATACAATAGTCGCAACATCTTGCAGCATCACATGATCGCAATTTGTGACCTTCTGAAATGGCCTCTGACAAGTTAATTGGGGAAACCTGATTCACTTAATGACTGCATGATTCTCTTAACAGTGGTGGTTTGCTTAATGCCCATGGTAAAAATGATCATAAAATGGAGTCCAGTCACATGATGACCTGCTTAACAAATTGCACTGCTTTATGACTGAAATTCCAGTCCTAATTGTGGCTATCTATATTGGCAGTGGACAACAGCATGTTGAAAAAATATCACTATCACCCTTTTCAAAGAAATGAAAACATTCAAAGGCAAGAGCCATGCAAAAACCAGTCCCAGCAAAGACAACAGAAAAATTCTATTGCCGTCCCTTGGGACAAAACCAGAAGAGCAACTCTCACGGTTTAAATCAATCTGCAGCCCTGTACTTTTACAGATAGGTCTATTGAACTTTTGAAAGTAAAGATGTGATTAATAACAAGCTTAGTGATTTTCCAGACACCTGGTATGCTTTGCAAAGAATGAGTCAGATATTATACAGGGAGGTGACCAGGGACTGGGTCAGGACAGTAATGAATTCTCAACACTCTCCTTGTTCCTATTTAACATCTACATGTAGCTGCTGGGCAAATCAATACAGTCAAGAATCCACAGTTTGCCGGTGTTACCCAGTTTTACATTTTAACCTCAGGCAAAAAGATGATTCCCACTGAGGTGCTGTTGCAGTATCTGGAGACTTAGGGCCTGAATAGGAAAGGCTTGATCCCAGCAAGATGGGACTAGGTTTAGCTTCAAAAGCCATCCGGTTCCACAGAAAAAAGCATCGTTAGTTTTGACAGGATCATACTCCCCTGTACGGAACCAAACCTTAACAATTTCATCACCAAGATCATGAATGAAGTATTGCAAACTATTTGTCTGCCAGAAGACAACAAAAGACATTGTTTTAGAACTACAACAACTGAGAACAAATTTAAGCTTCCTCATGAGGACACATTGTCTAAAAATAGTTAGGGGGCTGGGTTTTTTTGCTGCTATTTGAAAAATGTGTTTATGAGCTTTCGTTCAGGTATGTGAGGGAAAAAATGTGAAACTGCTCTACAATCTTTTAAAATCCATTAAACTCTTACTCTAGAATTCTGGTGTTCAAATTAGATTGCCTGAGTTATAACACTGCTTCCTCTTAAACAGAAACAATGCAATACAAAGGAATTTTATAAGAGTCAATGCAAGCAAGCTGTGTTGAATCAGAAAAAGAATCAACTCTTACTGACCGTGTAATTTTACAACTTATTATGTCAAACAAAAAGTATCCAGTTAGTAATATAATCCTACGCTATCAAGTTTATTATTTATATACTATATATTAATTCTATGTTATTTAATTATTATTATTTCCTATTTCTTTTTCTTTATTTTTATTAATTGATTAGTCTTACTACCATACAAAAATTAAAATATTGTACAGGATCTAACTCCAGAGTAAAATAGATACAAATAATACAGTAATAAAATAGATACGTGGTAAATACAAAATTCAGATAAATATAACATCTTTACATGATGCCCTGATCTGTTCTATATAATGGGTTCTTAGCTGAACTGTCTTAAGTATAAATTTAGCAGTTCTGCTCACAATGTATACATATACATTAATCCTTGTAGGAAACAGGGCAATCTATAGTTCAGATCCCAGTGGGCTGCTGTTCTTTCAAGTAAGGGTTTTATTTTATTTTATTTTATTTATCAAAATTAGAAACCACCCATCTCCCTCACTTTGTTTTTTGTCTATTTGCTGTTTTCTGTCCTTTGAAGTATTTTAAATATCTAAGCTTAAAAGAGGCATGCAGCTGACAGTCAAACAAAACATGCACAATATCTCTGATAGCAGGAGTACCACATATACACATCCTCTCATGACAGAAGTGCCATATTTGGTGATGGAATCCAATAATTCAAATCTTGCTCTAGCATAGGTCCTTCTTAAGAATAGCATCAAACTCATTGACAGGTATTTTTCAAATTGTAAAACAATTTTGTTCTTAGCCAACCAATATAAAGATTTTTTTTAACCAATAAAACCATGTCAATTTGGAACTGATGTCCAAGACTCTCTGCTTAAAATTTCCCTTGCCTGGGAGACAATTGAGAGTAAATACTGGATGGAAAACCCATGCTGTTTTCCATCCAGTATTATGGGTTTGTCAACTTTTGTCAACTCAGCTACTTATTTCTTAGACTGATAAGCCATCCACATTTATAGACGCTGGATGGCTACCAAAATGTGGAAAAAGAAATATCTTTTACAAATGTTTAAATCCCAGAAATTAAAACTGATAAAACAACTGGAATCAAAATGAAAATTTGAAACTAATAACAATAAAATTTTATAATAGCAAGTTAAATGTAGGTTAGAACATGCTTCACTTGCTTCATGGACTATGACTCCAAAAGATCAGGGCTATCTGGAGTGCATGATGTTGTGTATTTCAAAGAGACAGGTGTCACCAAGAAAGCCTGCTTTTGAGGTCTGTCCCCTAAAACTGCATTATATTTGAATAATACTTAGTAGAGGAAGGTTCCAATTCAATAGGGTCAAAATTAATACTTACTAAATGTTGGTAAATAGGAAATATGAGTAAAACGAAATGAAAAATTATAGATTTCTATAAGAAACGTAATTATGCATTACAATAAACTAAACCAGAGCATAATATCTAACTAAAGATTCACTGCTCAAAATGCTATTTATCTATTCCGGATATTAGCTGTCAAAGAGCTTATTAGCCAAAACATGATTTACTGTTCCGAGGGAAACTAGTTAAGCATCACGTATTAGACCTCCCGGGATCTACTGTCAAAACATTCTTATCAAGAATTACAGTTTATCGACTTACACGGTTATAGTTGTTGAAACAGCAAATGTTTTCCTTAATGAATGCTTGAAGAAAAACCATACTGTTGATACCCTGCAACTCAAATGTAAGCTAAAAGATCTGCATCTACAATATCCCAGCAAAACTACAAATGTCTCAGATGCCAAAGAGCTGCATATGCTCCATTACAAAACAAACTAGCAACCCTACACTGTTAAGGACTGAGATAGTTAATTGATGATTACCAGGTAACCATCCTTTAAGGATATCTCATTGCCATTTGAATTTGTATCTCGCTTGGTAAAGAGAAAAGCAAGTTATTGTGGCTGAGTAGAATACCCCATCCTGGGATATGTACCCAACTTCAGCATTAATTCTTAATTATTGACTGCAAAGAATGTAATTTTCACAACTAATTAATATGCAATTTAGCCTTTGCTAGCTTCTGGAAGGCTATCAGCAAAAAGACCTGTCTTGGTTCTAGATAGCGGCAGTCTATTCCAAAGAACAGATGCCATAGTTTCGCATCACAAGAATGGGCTACCACCAGCAACATATTCTGCAAGGATCTCCTTGGTTGGGTTGACACTGGGTGGCAATAGACAGTCCTGCAAGTACCCTGGTGCC